CTAACTGCAGAGGAGATGGCTCTAAGTGGACTCCATACTTTAGCATTCCCTTCCTCGTTAACAGCGTTTACTACATGAATGCACACAGAGAGGAAATCGGAAAACAACGAGGATGTGAGTGTGAAACGGCACATCTGATGCATGTCACTCTTTATCTTTATAGATCACACAGGGAATTATCACAGCATTAAAGGGACTAATAAAAGCAACGCCTTCCAATGAAGTATTTTATGCTTAAAACGTTGTTCCCTACTGCTGTGTTTATCACTTTGCGGTGCAATTTCCTCCTAATTTCACCCGTGACAATCTGATAATGCAGATGATAAGATACAGAGTGCGGGTCGGCGGGGAATCAGATTATTTCTTGCTCTGCCTACTTGGATTTGGTCTCAAAATAGCAAACTGTGCCTAGTTTTCTCTTCATCCTGTTCCTTCTGTAGGGAGACCAGAGGGAGAAGGAGGGATGACAGGGACTTTTGGAGGCCATGTCTCCCACGTGTCTCCTGGACGAGTGAGCTGTCGGAGACGGGTGGAGTGATTGATGGGCCGACTCTTTTAACCACATCTGTACACCTGCAACTTCAGCTCAGACAGACTCCTTCACACAACACTCTGCTAGACATTGTTCAGTAGAGTGTAGACAAATTGGCAGATTGATAGAATAAACGACACACAATCAGGCGCACAACTCACGCACTACCTAAATACAGCAGGTCTTGACTCAGCCAATCCTGTGCTTTATTCTGATGCAAACCAATGCATTCATACTTTTTTTTCTCTCACGCTGAAAGATGTGTGTTCTCCTCTGGCTTGCTGCCCATGTTTGCTGTAAAACAACACAAAAGCAGCTAAAACTCGGTCAAAAAGCTGCCCTGCTTTCCCGCTCTGGCTCTTACCCACTGCACTCGTTCCAATGGTGAGCGTTTTGAGCTCTTGGCCCCGCACCTCACTAGCAGTATTTGTGTTGGTAGGGGAGTGCTACGCGTGGGCGGGGATGTGTGTTTGCGCATACCGTGCAAAAAAATCCCCAAATGAGTGTGACATTTGACACATGACTGAAAGGGACAGGAGCATGTTCTTTGTCTTCACTGCATGCTGTTGTCACTGCAGCAAGGAACAAAGGTGTTTTGGGTCAATTATGTCAGCCAATATCTGCCAGCACAGGATGTGTCTTACACATTTTGACATGGTCCATCTTTTAAGGCCCATACTTTAGTCACTGGGTGCAGTACGCAATCAGAGGTATGAACACGTGTTTTGGTAATGCCACCCTTGGTTTTGTATCTTAAAACTGGCATTTAGGTGTTTAACCGAAGTTAGCAAAGATGCTGTAGGTTTATATGCACAAATTGCATTGATTTATGCAAACACTCTGAAGTGCTAAATATGCCAGTTTCAACAAACCACACTCAACATGCAGGTTAAAAATGTCTCTCTTCAGTTATGGACTGCTAGAAGACTAATTGAAATGCACGTGTGAAACATACTGTATCTTCCCTGCGACTTAAATAGACGTGAACAACAGAACACACAAAGCAGCTACTAGGGAGGAAGAGAAGACTAAAAAAGAAACCATTATTTATGAAATGCATGTTGTGGGATTTTTTTCTGAAGCCAACAAACCTCGCAAACATGCAAAACGTTTTACACTGGTATGAAACAGTTTTCTTAACAGAGTTCAACTTTGACACACACACACACACACACACACACACACACTCACCACTGGTTTTAGAGATTGCATTCCAACATGAAACAGATTGGAGCCGAGGCCAGGGACAGTCTGTGGTGAGGAGCCCACGCCTCGGCTGCCTGTTGACTCATGAAGCGGCCACTGGCTGTGCCGCTTGCACCAATTTGCTGTGAACCTCACTGAGACAAATAACTGCCACAGAGCCGTAACACACTCTGCCGTCAGTCCGCTGGCAGCTTGCCAGCGCGCTCATTGATGCTTCTGCTGGGGTTAGCTGTCCTGATTTGTTCTCCTCCTGCTCTTGTTGTCTTTCCTTTGTCATTTCTCTGTATTTTACCTTGTTCACTTGTTCACAGTCTCACTTTATTATTGGATATTGCCGAGCAGGATGAGTAGGGGAGGAGGAGTCGGCATGGTAACCAAAAGGACAAAAACAGAGGGACTAAGACAGACGCTTTTCCTGCTCGAGCCACAGGTGTGTTCTCAAATCAGTAGGTGGTGACCACGCTTTTAAACACACTGTCCCCCGCTTTGCACACGACCCCAAATATGTCGGGTTGAACGCTGCCTCCTTCAACACATCCAGAGCCCTGACCCCCCCCCCCCTACGGACCGGTAGTTCAGGGAAGCCAGCTGGCTGCACATGGAGATGGTTACTTCACATCAAGATCAATGAGATTCCGAGATAAACTTGGCTGTCTGGAGTCATATGCAATGGGACAAATTCATGTAAACACCCACTTCCCTTCTGTTGTTAGTGGCTGTAAAACGTAAACTGTGCCTGTGTAGAGAGGGGTCTGTGTGTGGATTCGAGGCCTACAGCCAAACGTGTGTGGTCAGCCCTGTGGAGACGGCCAGGCCGCTAGACAGCAGGCACTGAGGTTATCGCCTGCTCAAGTGGAGCGCTGGGCCGTCTATTACCTCACTTTACTATCTCTGCATGCAGGAAAAAGGAAACAAGCTATTCAGAGAGCTTCTCAATGGGGGGGGGGGGCTCCTCCTCGCCGGTGCCGGATAGAAGGGAACGACTGAGTATAGGACAGACCTATATTGTAATGTGTCAGTGATTACAGAGAAAGAGCAATAAGTGAATTCCCATTGCATTCTCAAACAGATGCAGAGGTTACGGAAACATAATCCCAAGGTTTCACATACTTTTTTCCTGACAGTCAGTTTTTAGTTTGTTACGCACTGGAAGCTTTTGAGCAAATAGGAAGTTTGATTTGATGTTGACATCTCTGATACAAAAAACAATCACAAAGGAAAATAAACCAATCCCAAGCCGGTTTGAATACACGAGTCCTACAGGATTCGTGGTAAATGCATTCGCTCAGGCTTTGGGTAAAGAGACTGAGATAGAGAGAGATTGTGGGCTGTACTGTAAATGTGGTCAATGATAAACCAAACAAACTGGGTTAGTTCTCTTAGCTTGGCAAAACAGGACTTGTTGAAACTTGGCTTATGTTAACAATCGCCGTTGGGTAAGAGAGAGAAACTGTAAAAGCCGGGCTCTTAGAATAACATCTACAAATAGTTGTGTTTTTAGCTTTTAAGGAAAAAAACCTTTGAGGCGTAAAATTGGGCAAAATAAACACTATTTAAACCACAACTTCCTTCTTTGGAGGTTCATTGGAAATAAAAGGAAGGTTGTTACCTCAACTTAAACTGAATCTGAGTAAAAGAGAAACTCATATGCGAAGGTATGACAAGCATCCTTAATGAGAACTTAGCATCCCAAAGATGCCCTCGGTCACTCAGATTGATGTCTTCCAGTTTCTCCCACTGGAGTTTAAATCAAAGCTTGTAAAGAAAACTCGTTTGTGGGGCTCTTTTCTACGGCCTTTTTTCCTTTGGCAGGGTTCTATCCCAGTTGCTCAGGCAGCATAATTATATGTAGTTAGGCATGGGCTGTAGGGACGGGAGAGAGCGACAGAGAGACACCGAGGAGCAACAAGGAGAGAAAGGGCTGGAGCAGAGTGGCTTGTCATTATGGCTCTTTTTGAATCTTACACGGAACGGCACTAAACTTCAGACTGAGCCAACGATACTCTTCACGCTGCCTCACAAGTCTTTCCAAGTGTCTTGTTTTTCTACTTGAGAATTGAGCACTGTGTATCCTGGACTACTAGGGGGACTACTTTTAGCATCACCCTGGTGACAGTTGTGTTGTGTTTTCGTTATATTCACATTTTAGATTCATAATTTATTTCCCTCTAGATAATTACATTGAGATTTTGCTCAAATTGTAGTTGTTATTTGGAAGTTCACTGAATATTTCACATAGCTTACATGGAGGATGGAAAATATCAAAAAAAGGAATTAGGAGCAGAGCAGTTTGTGGCATCTGGACCCTCCGAAGACCTTAAATCAGAAATGACACGACTAGCAGCTTTACCCTCTCCAACCTCACATCCAAGACCATGACCCATGCCCAGCCCAGCAACTCCTCAAATACTCAAACACAGACACACACACACACACAATGCTTTTTACTTTCCCCATCTTGATCTGATCACAGTGAGCGGGTTGGTGACAGACTCTGGGCATGCTTGAGGGGCGGCTGATATGTGAGCTCTACACTTCAGCCTTCACTCTCAGCCAGTCAAGAGAGCAAGGAGATAATATATATAAATATGAAGAGCTGACCTCACCAGAGACAGCAGCCTTTTAAGAATCATGGAAACAAATTTGTCAACACAGGTCACCACTCACAAAAAGACTTAATGGTTTAGAAAGATTATTTTCTTTTCTTTCGTCGCAGACCGGCTGACTGCCAAATATACTCCTGGCTAATATTTCACCCAGACTTCTTGTTGACACCAGGGATGCTTAAATCCACTTTACATCAAAGCCAGCCTGTTGTTGCATGAGTGTGGTATGCAATAAAGGGAATAGCTTATACCTTAATGACATGAGCTCCTCACTAAAAGATGACAACACACATATGCAATGATTGCATGTAGAAAACCGCATATATATCTCTCTAAAAGCAGAAGCAGGGCACAAACAGAAAAGGCTTTGTCCCTTTGTAGCTCCTGACCACCTACCATGGGCCCTTTAGTGAAGCACTCACCCTGGAATGATCAGGCCACTTCTCCCCCAAGACTCCGTGGGCCTACGGAGACCGCTGGGCCAAAACACATCCTGCCCATCTCCTAAGAGCTTATTCAACTCAATGAACACATTGAGCACAGAAACACAGGAGGAAACTAGAGCCTGCTATTCAGTGGTATCGAAAACCCCAACTCCTCCGTCGGCACCCACAGTCCCAGGCGAAGGAGAAAATGAGAGGACGTGTTGCACTTACTGGCTACTTCCAGCGATGCGTTGTGGCTGGCTGCCTCTCCCAGGTAGTTGCGTGCCACACAGATGTAGGACCCCTCGTCCGGTTTGCTCCGTCGTCCGTGGACGATGCGTAGAAAGAAGAGGGAGCCGCTGGGCAGCAGCATGCGCTGAGAGCGGGGATTATCCCTGTCCGTTTCCACCCGCTCGCCATCCTTGTACCACTCCACCGTCGGGGTCGGCCGCCCCTCCGCTTTGCAGTTGAGCGTGGCGGGCTCCCCCTTGGAGACGATCAGGTCAGAGGGGTGCTCCACGATCCGGGGTGCGGTGTCCTCCTGGCGCAGACGGGATCCTGAGCACAAATGGCCAAAATGAGCGTTTACATCTGGGAGTATTTAGACCTTTTGATGAATTTCAAAGTCTCAATGTAGTTATGTTGTAATAAAACATGTCACATGACCTACCGGCCCGTTGCCGTGGACTCTATAGGACAGTTTAGGACAACTATACTTTCCTCTGGTTATATAACATAACAGGCATCCTTGAAAAACTAGTGGAAACGTTATAACTACATAGGTTTGTATTCTGTTCAATTCTTATGAACCTTCGTTCATGTTCATGTTCTACTTATCGACTACGGTGAGAGCGTAAAGAGTGTTTGCTCAACGCGTATTGATGTTCCACCCTAACCCTAACCCTATTTATGCACTTCTCTGCAAAATATACTAATAAACAATATGAACATCTAGTTTATATGAAGATAACATCATTTGAAAAAAGACATGATTGAAGGGCTAAACACAGGTACTGCTGATGCAAGTAGTAGAAAGCAAATAAACGGCCATTCTGTGAGTCACAAGAGAAGTCACCCTTTAATTACAGCGACGGCTCCTTTAATGAACCTTAGCACGGCACCAGCTATGCGACTCTGTCATTTCCCAGATCAAAGGGCACAGAAGAAAGAAAAGGAGGCAACAGTAAACAGGAATATGACACCCCTTAAAAGGTAAAAGGAAATTAAAAGATAAATGCTGAAGATATGGATGCAGTTTCGATCTTAGGGATATAGGGAGTACAGATCACTCTGTTGAAGAAAGACGGCAGTGACAACAGCAGTGCCAAGGGGGTTGACACCCCAGTGCTATCTTAGGCCATGACGAATGGTCTTCGACCAGTCAGCTGTGGCTATCAAACCTGCTTTACATGCAAATTAGCTTCCTGTTGTTAATTCCTCAAGGGGAGGGGAGGGGGGGGGGGACTCGATGCCTGTGAATGCATTGTGTGCCTGCACACAATACTATGTGTATGTGTGTCTTTGGGAGGGTGAAGGAGAGAGAGAGAGTGAGTCTCCCCCCACTGGCCATATCTCCCAGCATAGGCCTTTGGAGCTCATTCAGGACCAATTAAAAAGAGTCTGGTCTAATTGGAGGCAGAGGCCTGCAATTAATTTACCCAGCATCCCGTGAACTTGCCCTCTACCCATCCCCCGCCATCCTACAAGCCTGGTGCTGAGAAGGCATCTTCTCATGGTTGCTAAATATTTTAGCTCACGTCAGCGTAGCCAGTGACAGTTCCGCAGAGAGATGAATCACTTCAATGCAAATGTGTGGTCAATGGAATATAATTAATCCAATACCCTAAAGGACATCATGATCAAGTAGTTTCTAGACTTCCTCTCAGGGCACAGCAGACTTTTTTACTCTTTGTTGTTTTACTTTGGGTTTCTGCTCTTCTAAAGTTGTTCTTATATAGACACCATGCACACACTGCTTTCCTTTGAGACTTGTAGTGTGTACAAAAATACGTCTGTTACAACTATTTGTAGCAATAAGAGGTGTTGATTAAATATTTAGTTGCAACGCATCAAAGATGTGTCATTCTATGGTTGTTTGAAAAATATATCTGTGGAGATTAAAGCGTTTTTGGCAGCCAGACAGAAACAGATGGTGAATTAGAGAGAGCAGCAAATCAAGCCTTTAGCGGGAATGTCTGAGAAAAAAAAAGAATACACGTCTCTGCTTCCACTGGAGCTGCCTGAACAAATTAACCACTGTTTTTAACCTGCTCTGGTGACCAGCTTTCAAAGCTACAGACCATATTAATGCTAACAAGGCCCCACACTTTTGTTTGGCAGCATACCGGAGCGCAGAACTGACCTGCAACTCCTCGCTATGCCACCATTCACTGGCCCATTAGCACCACAGAGGCTGCACCGCTACCGCCGCCCTTCACCAGCCAAGGCAGCCTACTATGTTTTATTAAAAGGGACTTTGAAGAGCGCCGCCACTATCTGCATAGCTCGTTCCCTTCCTGATTTAGAGGGCTCCTCTCTAATTTGAAATGGTCTGAAGTTTGGGGTTTTATGGGGGAACCATTAACTATTTAGATGTGGTCCGCCGTGAGGAGAGCTGTGCGGCAGGGAGCGCTGTGTTTGATCAGTGGCTGTTTACTGTAGATGATTACACCACATCTGCATGATTAACACACAGACTGAAAATGCAATAAACAGGTTACGGTATCCTGTCACGGAGGAGATGGTGAGAATGAGCAGGTGTACACACGGTACATATTGGACTCTAATAAGTGCGGGATTCCAGAGTGTGGTGCAAGAACGTATCCGTTCCACAATGCTATTATGTTTCCCTTGTTCCTCATTGAATTCATTGTGTGCATGTATGTGAGTGTGTGTGTGTGCACATTGTGCTGATCCCCATAGACACTTTGAGCAACCCCAGTTTCTTCAACTCCATTACTCCTCCCCGGGGGGCATAAAAGACACAGGCGGTATATACAGGATGATTCTGTCATCATGTCACAAACACTGCTGCGTCTCCCTCTAAAGTTCACGTTTGCAGAAGATGGCCAGCCAGCTCACTTCACTCCTTCCCTACAACAACTCTGAAGACCAAAGAAACACGAGCGGAGCAGAGTGCACACTCCACTTCTGAGCTGGGCTGTTCGCCGTCTCTCTCTCTCTCTCTTTCTCTCTTCCCCTCCCTTCATTTCAAAGCGCTGCCCTTCCTTCTCCTCGGCTGCATCTAACCGCCCTCACTCCTACGCTCTATCTACCCCCCCATACCCCCCCCCCCTTGCTTCCAGACAGAAAATTTGAGATGAGCTAATGCAATACGCAGCTTCACCGAGGGGATGCTGGGAGTTCTACTGCAAGTATCTGATCGATTGGTGCTTGAGGCAAGATTCTCCTTCGCCTTTAACCCTCTCACTTGCTGGAGAACAGTCTTTCTTTTCTCTTAGTTGTTCACACACACACACACACACACACACACACAGTTAAACTATGCTTGAGGGGGGCCTTTGCTTGCTGTAGAGGCGATTAAAAAAAAGAATCCTCTCAATGCTAAAAGCAATCTCGGCAATGAAGCGAAAACGAGAGCCCAACAACAAACATACTGAATTGCCTGAGACCCATTTGCACAGCCTGCACAAGGGTCCAGACCCAGACACTGACCCATATACTCACACAGTATCTGTATGCATCCTAGGATGCATGAAGACCCCCCCCCAAGGGCGTTAGCCCACTCTGAAAACAGGCTCTTTCCCAAGTCCAACCGTTGATAGAGGGCAGGATCACGGGATTCACGGTGGTTGTCAAGAAGCGAAAGTCCCTCCACTCCCCACTAGACCACTGGGCATACATTGAATATTAACATTATGGCTTCCGGCTCAATATTGATTCATCTGGGGCTTAACATGATTTTCAGCCGACAACATTGGTCAATTTATTGTGGATCTATATTCCACAAGATGAGCCTCCTTCCACGTCAACTAATATGCCCAAGAGATGCTGCTACTGATCAAGCAAATAGATCACAATGGGGCAATCTGAGTGCGGAGCAGATGACATCAACGTTTTTTGTGTAATTCATAAATCAGTTTACCAAAATATTTTGCAGACAGCAAAACTGAATAAACCGCCATGCAGTCATAGCAGCCAGCGCAACTGTACAGTAACGCATGAAAACTGCAAGGAGAGGAAGAGGAGTAAGACAGCCCCTGGACACACGTGGGAGAGACGCAACTCAGGACTTTACCACAGTTAGTAAAAAGTCAGCGCAGGAAGAGAGTGGACAAGGATATAACATCTACACTGCACATTCAGACAGTACTGAAACATTCAACCGGCCATTCTGTCGTTTGTCTCAGTTAGTGAAGAGATCAGTCCGCAGAGACGCTTATACATAATAACTATGACAAGAGCTGCAGTATTGATTGTACTATAATTACATAATGCAACAGAAGGTATTGGAAGAATTTCACTGAGAACATTTAGTGTCAATGTCAGATGTCAACTGTAAGAAAATGCAATAAAATCTTGATTGTGGCTCTACAAAGCGTACGTGTCTGGGAGGCAGCAATCGATCTAACCACTCTGACCGGAAGAAGAGAAGACGACCCTGGAACTACAGCTTACGCTCTGAGCAGCCCTGGGACAAGACGCTGCCAGACAGGGTGCGCTTAAACACGACGTGTTTGGCCTTTGCAATTAAAAGCACATGCAGGCGACGTCACGAGTGTTGCATTTTTACTACTCATCACTCAGTGCGTGAAGGTGAAAGAGAACGACGTGCCAACAAAGGAGACAATAAGCATCAGCTGTAGCAGAATCAATAAGTTCAGGTCCAATGATTTCCCGGGCATAAAAAGCCAACGTGTTCCTGCCTCTCACAGCTCTTTTCCTTGGCGGAGTGTGCGGTGGAGGAAGGGAGTCAGGCACCTGCCCTTTACCCCAGAGAACTCACGGGGGAGAGGGACAGTGAGGCAATTTAGATCTGTTTTCACGGAGGTCCCCTGAGGTTTTGGGAGACGGGATAATGTGTCTCCTTCCTCCCTCCCTCCAAACTTCACAATGCTGGGTCCTTTCATCCAACTCTTGCCGTAGAACAAACGATCCCAGTCTAGGGTTGCGTGAGTTTATATCATAGTAAAGTTTCATTGCCGCCATAAAGATTCTCAAGGTAACAGAATCTCAAAAAGGGCCGCTGCTGAAATTGGGAGGTGTCGCCGTAGCCGTATTATGACACCACATATCACATTTCCAGCTGAGCAATGGCAGAGATACGGAACAGGGGTCTGTGATAACGAAAGCCAAGCACAGTAAGGCACTCCCTATCTGCAGTCCCATTAAAGCGTGATTAGGGGACTTAAGAGGGATTTATAGCAGAGATAAGATCAGAGGGCGTGTTGCTCTGGGAAGCCGGGCAGGGACCGTAGCCACGCCTGCTCCGGACGCTGCCTGCAAGTAAATGACTGAAAGTAAAAGAAAAAGGCTTAGAATTAGAGAAGATAACATAGAGAGAGGCCGGAGATAAGCAGAGAGAGAGACGGACGCAG